CGATCAGAGCAAGCTACCTACTTAAAGCGAAACTAAAATTCAACCTGTTATTAGTAATAAGTATAGCTAACTGAATATACTTTTCTTAAGTTCTTATTTATAAAGATAAGAATGCATTGTTTCATCAGTTGGGTACTATCGCTCGTTAACGTTATTTTCGCCCGTAATCCCAATAATATTTCATGAGATTCGGCTAGCTTAGGACATTTAGGTTAGTCTTAAACACATATATTAAATTAAAAATGCAAAACCATCTTTATAATAAAAATGTAATAATAAAAAATAATTCAAAAGAAATAATATAAGTTATATTAAATATTTTAACTAATAGTGTCAATTAGTGAAAACAGCAATCAAGAAATAATATAATATACTTTATCTAAGGAACACAAACAGTTAACCCCCCACAGTGTTAAATGTTTATCTCAACATACATTCTATGGTGTAAAAGAACAATGGGGCACACCCAACCTATCAGCCTCGTTTCCTGTTCGTTATGTCTATTTTTCTGTAACTTCTAGCCATCACCTATGAGTTACCTGGTTGCCCTTGATAGAGACAGTCAACACTTAGTTCTGGTGACATCGTTGCATCTAGTGCGTTAGCTATGTCCTCTGGAAACAGTTCCAGTTAACGACCCATCAACATGTGGATAAACAATCAAGTCTTAATTCCACGTGAATAACAGCTAGCATAGACAGATGCGTAGTCAGTTGTTTCAACTTTACCTAGTTAGTTAAAATACATCAATTCATAAACAACATCCTTTTTTATGAAAAAAGTTAAATTCATGAACGTTTCTCACTAACTGTTCGAGTTATTTCTTTTATTTATTACTTTTTGTACTTTAACGTTGATTTATTGCTCAACTCGTTTCACTTTACAGTCCAACCTAAAATCATCTGGTGTCTAATTAAACATTATTAAACAGCTTCTACAATATAGTTAGAGGCATCTGAGATAAATTACTACGACACATGTTACTATTTACATGTGAAGTCAAGTAGCAGGACATTACCAAGAGTATATCTAAAAAACTATTCGTTATGAAGACACAAAATAAAAAATTAAATGAATATCCGAATCGTACAATACTTAGCTATAATATTGGCTCTGTAATGAAATGATAATAATTTTGAATGCAATACAAAGGAAACAATATGTTACACATACTATAAGGACACTTAACTAACCTCTGTCAATTAAAGCACATGAATAAGTAACCGGAAGCAAAATATTAAGTAAAATCTTCTGTAAAAGGTGAAATGTAAACGCGACAAGTCTTGAGAATCTTCAGTGGTAATAATAAGACTTGGAAAGGAAAGTTACAAGTCATAAACATGGTTTGTTTGAGAGCAAAGCCACATTTGGCTATCTGTTGTGTCCACCGCGGGAAATCGAACGCCGGATTTTAGCGTTGTAAAACCGTAAACCTACCGCTATCTCACAAGAGGACCATAAATATAACAAAGTAATTAGTAAAAATTAATGTAATTTAACTAATGACATAATGTAATATACAGAGTTGTTATTTAGCTAGCATTTATTATACTCACATTTTCATTATGCACACGTGCTAAGACACCCGAGTTTCTATACAGAACAGGAGACGAGTGTTCACTAATTCTTCAATTTCACGTAAACATTGGGTAATGTAGGTAGTCTTTTGAACACAAAGAACAGGTGTATTTGTAAGGAATCGGTGATGTCATTAGCGTGGGAATACTAAGTTTAGAAGAAAACAAAATATAAAGTACTTCTAAGAAGAATTCTGACAGTAATCTTAGGAGTTGCAAAAGTTAGTCTGTTAAAACAAGCAATTCAGCACCAAAGTAAAGCAGAAGTACGGTTATGGTGAATTATTTTGAGGTAGAAAGAACAACAAGATTTTGCTTATTTAAAAGTTTTGTTTTAAATATTCTTATTCGTGAAGTCAAGAGGATGATACTATTTTATGAGATACTTATTTAATGGAGTGTTTTTGTTAAAACAAGAGAGTTCTAATTTTTGAAAAGTTGTAAAAAAAAGATATAAAAGTAGCATGTTTTCCAGTGAGTCAGTGGTAAGTTTATGTACTTGCAACACTAACATCCGGGCTTCGATTCCTCATGGTGGACAGAGGGTAGTCAGCCGATTGTGTAGCTTTGAATTACGAAACCAACACCTACAAAACTGATTTAAAGTTTAATTGAGAAAATGAAGTAAAAGTAAAACTGAATTTATAATTATATCTAATTATTAACTTTAATTATTATTTTGTTATTGCTTAGTATGTGGAATATGTAACTTTTAAATTATATTATAATATGTTTCTTTTAACTTTTTAAAATACTTTATTTTACACTAAAATACCAAACGTATAAAAGTAGAAAGACACCATGGGGCAGATAATGACAATTTCACGATTCACATTTAAAGCGAAACCTGAAAAGAAAGCAAGAATATAGCATTTTTTTGGGAAACAACTTTCCTTGGAACAGATGATGGCATGTGTTTGTTCATATTGATCATAAGTCAACTTCTGAGATGAGGAGCTACACTGAAATAACTGACCTTATGTTTCAAAAATGAATGCTAGATACTATACAGTTGAAAAATGAAATAGAGAAACATACGAAATTACAGATTATTTTATTATAACCTCAGTTTACAAACAGTATTTTTAGAAGCATACTATCTGAAAGCTGTAGTTAAAATAACAACAAAATAAATCTTTGTTTGTCCTTAATCCTAAAGCTACACAATGGACTATCTGTGCTGTGCCCAAAACAGGTATCGAAACTAAGTTTTTAGCGTTAAAAGCCCACTTAACTTCTGAGCCACTGGAGGGGGTCAATAAATTTGTGAATTAAGTTCTTCTTAATTCAGAAATGAGTCACTGAAAGATGTTTGAATTTTAATTAAAAACACATACACTACTGTGAGCTTAACATCAATTGACGCAATTACTTACGGTTAGATAACACAGAAACCTTCCGTGTTGAAAGAAGCTACTTTTTAACAGAAGATTCTCTATAAAGTCAGTAAAGAACCACTAAACCTACTTGTTGAAGTTAAGTTGAACCTCAGAATTTAATGTTTAGTGGCTCAGCGGAAAGTCTAAAGGCTTGTAACATTAAAAATCGAGTTTCGATACCAGCGGTTGGCAGAACACAGATAGCCTCTTATGTAGCTTTGTGCTTAACAACAAACAAAAAAGCGTGTCCAACAAGTTGTGATTAAATTGGAGTACATCCTCCAAAGATATAGTAATTAAATGTACATTATAAATAAAGTTCACAAATATTAAAATTACACAAGCATATATACAACTTACAATTATTGTAAACTTACAGGAAGTCTATATATAAAATCATGCGATGATTACACTGTTCTTCCGGTAAATAGTGAACTCTTCGCACATAAGTAGCGATTTTCGAGAAAAAAATCCATATCATTAAAGGCAAACTTTATACACAAAATGAAGACTGTTGTGCTGTTTAGTGGCACAAATTATACATATAGATATGTAAAAAATTGTCCTTCTAATTAAGAAGTTTGCTTCCTTGTTTTGAATTTCGCGCAAAGCTACACGAGGCTATTTGCGCTAGCCGTCCCTAATTTAGCAGTGAAAGACTAGATGGAAGGCAGCTAGTTATCACCACCCACCGCCATCTCTTGGGCTACTCCTTTAGCAACGGATAGTGGGATTGGCTGTCACATTATAACGCTCCCACAGCTGAAAGGGCGAGCACGTTTGGTGGAATTAGGATTCGAAACCTCGACCCTCAGATTTCGAATCAAGCGCCCTAACCACCTGGTCATTCTGGGCCTAATTTATAAGTATCTTGTTACTTACGACCACTTACTTTTTTGGTCACACTGTCTGAAAACTAATTTTTAAGCATTTAGAGAATATCTTGTGGAAAAAAATGTTTTAATGAGTAGCATATCAAGACTCATCCAACTTGAAGGCTTAGCCGTATAGTTATGTCTTTACACTACAGAATGAACACTTGAAACTAAACCTTTATTTTGGTTAGAGACGGGAATAGTAAAACATATAAATAAAGTTTAATAATTATATCTAGTGTTCTCATGGCATCATCTGATGCCAGTGAGTAGATCCATGTTGAGAGTCAGGACTAATCAGTTTGAAGATGAAATATTATCTTTTCTCCATTTATGAATATACACTGAGATAAGCAAGTTAAAAATTACGAAGTGCTCAGCTATAGTGAAATGAAAATCTGTAATTATTAAGGTTAGTGGTTTATACGATCACCAAAGTCTGATTGTTAAATAATAATTAGATTTATAGGATCGTATAAGTGCAGCCTAAGGTCTGGCGGTTGGTGCCGTTGTTTAAAACTTTAAAATCACCAGAGGAAGAGCGTCCCAGCCCGAAACATGGTGAATATTAAAACATCTATTTCGCATTAGCCATTTTTCGAGATATTAGTTTTTGTTTTCGATTTCACAGAACCACAGGTTTTTTAGTTTATTCTTGAATCAGTCACACTGTCATGATCATTCTCCCATTTGTATTTATAGGTATTTCCAGGCTTGGAGTGGCTGAGAAATTCCCTAAAGCTTGCATTTAATAGGTTGTCTGTCGTCATCAGCCACGTGAAAGTATAAGAC